ATTCTACAAGTAGGAATTGGCCCATTTGTTCCTTAAGTTAAACAGTGAATTGATTTCTTTCCCCTAAGTCCTACTTTAAGTGTTTGTGTAAACTGTTAGGGGAATAGCAACTCTAAAACCAAGATTTGAAACTGTGCTGCAAACTATGCATGGCCATTTGAAGCAAAGATACTATTTGGCTTCTCTTCAAAGGTTTCCCTCCTAAAAGACTCTCAAATGACAGTGCATAGTCGAAGCAGACATGTGACATGCTGGACCTTATTTTCTTTGTTTGTTTGTTTGTTTGTTTTATGTTGAAGATGTTCCACAAAAGACCTGGCTGACCAATCCAGTTTGTACTATATGAAGGGCAACAAAAGACATTTATTTATAGTTCAATCCAAGTTCTTTTTTTTTCTTTTTCTTTTTTTTAACAGTGCATTTGCGTGCAACGTGCATCCAGTTAGGTGGACTGATGCAAATTTCACCCAGGTAACGTGAATAGAGGCAAGTTTTTGTTTATGTAAGTTAAAATATTTAAACTGGGATAAAAAGTTCGCTTCATTCTACATCACAAAAACCCTGGGATTTTCCCATAGAGTGGATTGCTGCTGATGCCAGCAATAATCAGAAGTGGAGGTTAAGCCTATTGACATCATTTGAGGGCAGGTGGAGCTGTCTGGTTGAACTTACCTTTCATACAGAGATTTAAAAAAAAAAGGGAAGTTTTTTTAGAAAAAATAAACACACCTTCATGTTAAGTTTTTAAAATGTCTTATCGTATCGATTTCCATTGTGCATGCATAAACGCAAGCATTGTTAAGTGTACCTTAGCTTCATGTTTGGTGTGAACAGACCATAATAAGGAAATTATGCTTCATTTATTTATTTATTTTTAACCAAGTGTATAGTTGGTTAACCCCAGAATGACCTTATTTGTATACGTGACTTTGTTCATACTATTAATTAATTAATTAATTAATTTATTTATTTATTTATTTATTTTTATTTTATTTTTTGTCTGGGATCATTCGTGACCTTGGAAACAGCTTTTTCTTTTTATATGCTTTGATTTTATTTTTATTTTATTTGTTGGTAAACATTCTTTAATATGGCATCTAATTTGTTGCAATTTTCAGGTTTTTCAGTAGTATAAATATTGAAAATATTGTTTCCACACAAAATACGAATGTAACACATTTACCAGTAGGTTTTTGTTTAGATTTCCTTTTAAGCAGAACTGTGGTAATAACAGGCACGGCTTTGTAACAGGCCATTGTCACCATGGAAACGGGAGCAGGATGATGACGCTGGCACAGTTTAACGTGAAGCTGTTTGTTTACACACCGCGAAGAGCAAAGAGGCGGAGCTGTTATTGAGATGCTGAGCTCAGGTTTATTAAAAGAAAACATTTTTCTAGTTTCCAACATCATTGTTGTTCCTGTGATCGCCATTTAAACCTTTACTGGGAATAAGCAAGTGGGAGGTCTTTATCAAAGCACCTGATCAACAAACTCTGTAGCTGCTCTGATCACCACCATTTGTTTTAAACAGTGAAAAGTCTGCAGTAAGCCTCTAGAAGTTGTATTAAAATATGCAGCTTGACTGTTCACTTAGTCCGATTCCATGTTTAAATTATACTGCTTGCTGAAGGCTAACGGCAGCCGTCCTCTTTTACATGGAAGCAAACGGGTGAGTCTAAAGAGGAGAACAGTGTGTAATAGACCATATTTATTTCAAGGTTTTCATAACATTTTTCATATTCAAAGTTTATGTTATATATATTTATATATTTATGTATAGGTTTGTGTGCATGTGTGTTTGTGTTGACTTGTTTAAACAGCTTTATGAGGGCCAAAAATTAGAAGCCCACTATACTTGCAGTGACCAGCAGTCAGTTGTGGGGACTAAATGCTGGTCCTCACAAATTTGAAGGCATTTTTGAGGCTAAGAATTTGGTTTTAGAGTTAAGGTTACGATTAGGTTGTGGTTAGGTTTAGGGTAAGGTGGCTGTGAAGGTTCTCAGTCATCCAGGTCATCGTAGTCAAAGGAGCTTGCAAAGAGGGTAAGGTTTAGTTAGGGTTAGGAGGGTTAGGAGTATGCACTGATTCCTAATGGTTAAGGTTAGGATAAGGTTAAGCATTATGTCAATTTGATGCCCTCACTAAGGTGTGAAAGCGAGTGTGTGTGTGTGTGTGTGTTTATTGGCAAGTCTTGGTTGTGTAGTTGTGTGGGAGTAAGTCCAAGGTCATCAAGTGATAACAGCACAATGGTGCAACTGAGTGCTGACAAACATTACAAAGCCTTGGTTTAAAAAAAAAATGCTGTTAACAAAGAGTCTTTAGACTAAATAACGTTATTAAGTTTACATTTAGTTACAGTCCATCAAGGCACACAAATGCCTTATTACCTTGAACACTTCCACTATCTATCTTTATCAGGATGTTGTTTCTCCCTTGGAAATATTCCCACAGAGTGTAAGTGGCAGCAACATTCCATCCATCCACGGAGATATCAGGTTGTTTTTCTTAACAATAAACTCTCAACACTGATTGCCTCTGTCAAACCAACCAAAGGGGCATTTAGACTCTCGAGTTATTGCTAGCCTTTTGTTTGTTCTGTAGAATCAACACAGCTGATAGGACATGTTCAAATTGACCTGTAGTGTAAATAATGAAATCGTGCAGCTTTTAATGTGAGCAGATCTTGACAAAAACAAATTTTGTAAATGATACAAAGAGAATCAAAGGATCAAAGACTTCATTTTGGCTACACCAGTTCATGGAAAAATAGGCTTCTTGTTATCAGAGGTATAATATTAGTTTTATTCCTGTTGAAATGAAACATTTAACTTTAGAAGAAATGTGGCACAGGTTGAGAAAGCCCAAATGCTAGTTTGGTCTGCACATACACTTTTGTTTCGGAAAACAAAGCTTTTTATGTGCACCGTTGCATTTTGTCCACACGTAAACAGCTTTATGCTAAAAATCAAGCTTTCAAAAAGTACTCTCAATGTGATCATTTTCAAAAACTGCATGTGCATTCATGTTTGGACAGGGATTACAGAGATTATGTGTTGCAACATCAGAGATGTGTGTCTTTATCTCCATTGTTAACGTCAGACTGGACTACGTGTTATTGTTTATAGGCTTCTGACATTTTTGTATGGTTAGGGTTACATTGCTTTGACATGCTCAAAGCAACAATGTTTTTTACATTTTCACATGGACGATGGTGTTCATTAAAACGGTGCTTGTGAGGGAAAGGATTAAAAAACAAAAGCAGAATATTCTTGTTTTGAAAAATACCGTGTACAAGTGCGTTTTCACATCTTTCATTTACTTCAGTCCATATCAGTTGATGAGCCTGATAGCTGAAACTTATAGTTGTTCCTTTTACACACAGGAAAAAAAAACACATTCTTGCAATGTGTCACTAGAAACCATGTGAGAACTTTTTGTCTACCGATTAGGCAAATGTGTCTGGGTGGGAGCAACAAAAGTAACTAAAGGAAGAAGGTGCTGTGTTCTGGCATGTTGGGAAAAAAAAAAAACAAGGGATTTACATTACATTTAAAGGCTAGTTGCTAGCCTGTACTGACAATTTGTGTACACTGAACATCTGTGGTACCCTGCCACATTCCAAACTGCAAAACTTACTTGACTATGGAAAAGCATTTCGCTCAAATTTGCAGCATACACCGAGTAGTTGGTTCGTATTATGTTTACACCATAAACAAACAGCTCTGGAGTTTGGAAGTGGACCAAGACCACCTCCTCCAAAGGGTCTCAGGGCAGTTGTTTTTGTTCGCACCCAAGTAAAATTACAGTGTTCACCCCTGCATCCCTGATTGTGTAGTTTTAAATTGATTTAAATGGACTAAACACCAGAGACCCAAAGTTGTTTTCATAAGCTCTGTGCTCCCTTTTTCGTTTAGTTGTTATTTACGGTTTGTTTATTATTCTGGTTTGTTTATTTATTCATATGCTTTTCATCATGTTATTTCACCCTGAGTGTCTATTAAGTTTTAGTAAACAAGACATTTGAAGATGAGGCTGCAATTTTAAGTATTTTCTGTAGATATTTGTAAAGATGTGATGAAGAATATCCAGTTGTGTCCCAGATTGCAAAAAAAATCCTAAATCCAGATCTACATCTGGATGTGATTTCTTGTAAGATGGGCAAAGCCCTATCTTTGGTAACAATTTAATGCAAATGCAAATCAAACCAATCTCCCTTTGGTGGTAACTATTAGCAAATTATAGTCTATGAATACTGCAGCCCTTCATTTTACACCCACTTTTTTAGTGAACCACAGGTAACTGATATCATGAAGTGCGTGCAATTTGAAAGCTAAGCAACCAGAGGAGGCAGACAGGCCATGGAAAAACCTGCTGCTTTCAAGAATATTTAGGCAGCGTTTTTAGTCCATTTGCCCAGTACTGTATTCCTGAAGCAAGTTTTTTGCAAAAACACAACACGTTCAGTGTGTGTAAACTGTATGTGTGTTTGTGTACGTCTTCAACTTGTGAATTTATTTATTTTATCCAGATCATGATGAACACTAAGGGTTTTGACTTCACACATCTTAGTTTGTGACTTCACTGTGGCAGCGCTCTCAGACCTGGTGTAGTGTTACCAGCAGGTTTGAGGGGTTCTTGCTCTCTTTAATGTGTTGAGCAGTTTTAGGACCTGAGGACAGGTGCTTTGTGGCACTGTCAGCCTTCTGTTTCTACAGTAATGAATGACCAGCATACTGCTGTTGGCCCTTTTTAAATATCTGCTATCATCTCCTCACCTGGACGGTCGCCTTTTTCTCTGTCGCTCACTCTTTGTATATCCCCCTTTCTTACATTTCACCTTTATTCTCCATCCCCTTCACATCTGTCACTTTCATCTCAGTCCCGTCTTTCCCTTTTTCCTTTTATCTCAGTTACACTGCTTTTTTTTTCTCGTGCATTTTTTTATCTTACGGTTTTTGTGTATTGATCTACCTAAAGTAAATTATTTTTCCTTTTCAGTTTTATTACTTGAAAAAATTGAGAATGATGACATTGGGAGAAAGACCTTGAAGATCACAGATTTTGGCTTAGCCAGGGAATGGCACAAAACCACAAAAATGTCAGCAGCAGGCACCTACTCCTGGATGGCACCAGAGGTCATTAAGTCATCTCTCTTCTCCAAAGGCAGTGACGTCTGGAGGTATAATGGATGATAATGACACATGAGGCCTTGACATTAGATTTAAATACTTATCTTTTTTCATTTGTCTGTCATTGTTCTTTAAATGTATTTATCATTAGTTTACTTTGTTTTTTGGGGGGGTTTTTTGTTTTGTTTTTTTCAGCTATGGTGTCTTGCTGTGGGAGCTGTTAACAGGGGAGGTGCCGTACCGTGGAATAGACGGCCTCGCTGTTGCTTACGGCGTGGCAGTTAATAAGTTAACCCTACCAATCCCTTCCACTTGCCCCGAACCCTTCGCTAAGCTCATGGAAGGTAAGTATGAGCAAATATCAGTGGAGCTGAAGCTGAGCTGAAGCTTTGTTTTTCCACAGAAAATGTATGTGAGACTGGCATCTTATTCCAAGAGAGGCACAAGAAGCGACGCCACCTGTTATAGGCCATATGGCACTAAATATTAGACTTTAAGTTTAATTTAATTTTATGTGTAGATTTGTACATGTATACATATTTCTACTGGAAAATGCGTGCATGCTAATAGTAAATGTACTCTTAAAATGGCTAATGGCAAGTTTGCTGGTTTTCCCCAACTTTGTGAATGTTTGTCAGAGCAGTTCACTAGGCTCACAAATTCAGTATGATGTAGATGCCCTGGTCACAGTGGTTATGAGTCCATCTTTTCACTGCATTGTATTTGTCCAGATTGCTGGGACCAGGACCCCCATGTGCGTCCCTCATTCTCCTGCATCCTGGAGCAGCTTTCAGCCATCGAAGAGGCGGTGATGGCCACCATGCCTCAGGACTCCTTCCACAGCATGCAGGACGACTGGCGTGTGGAGATCCAGGAGATGTTTGATGAGCTCAGGACCAAAGAGAAGGTAGAGCAGAAGGAGGAGGAGATTCTTTCATACACTAACATTAATATGTTGAAGCCACTGAACACAGAACTGTCCTGGCAGCCGGTTAAACACATGAAAGTAAACTTAATTTCCAGCATCCTCTCGTCTGTGTCGCACAGTGTGGGAAGTTGGACCCTGACGCCAAGTATGAAAAAAGACCAGCTTGTCATCTTGCTTCACTCTTTGAGTTTTAGTAATGATACACGCAGGCTAATCTATCATTACGTCTAACCCCGATGTATCGCCCTGGACTGGTTTCATGGGATAAAAATGTTTAATTGGTTACTTTCAGTGGATAAGGCTAAATCGCACGTTTAACAATCAAGTCATTAATGCCGAAGTGCTTTAGTGGACTTCCCCTTGTTAAAACCTTAATCTGCTTCCTGTATAAGTCTGCTGTTTCTGGCTTAAAGTGGGGAGAGGGGAGTTAATTAGTGTTTAGAGAAACGGCAGGATCAGCACACAGAGCTGAGTTAATGAATGGTGAACTGAGTTTTACACAAAATACAAAAGTGCACAGGTGGTGTTTTTATTGAGAGTTTTAATTTGTGCCTATTTTTGTATTGTGGATTTATGCTGTCTGCTTTGTTCTAGTTTTTCCAGTTCTGCTAATCCACCGTTTGAGCATGAGGTTTTCGTTTTTTAAATCTTACAATCCCCAAATTAAACGCTTATCTGCACAGCTGGTAATTTCTGTTGCCTCACCATGCTATATTAAATTCAACCACTATGCAGAGCTCAAAGAATAAGGCTAATTTAGCTTTGAGCTTTCCCATCATAAATTTTACAAGATTAGGGAATTAGTCCCTTCATTTAAACAGATTTCCTGTAAAAAATCTCACCGTAATCTGTGTCTAGGTGGGTGGCTGAAGTGGTTTGACTGTAAAGCTGCTTTATGGAAGTCATCCAGTAAGGATTATTATTACTCAACTGAGAGCAATTGAAGAGAAAATGGAGGGAGTGAAGAATGAGTAAGCAGTGGTAGGAGAGCATAACACTGCCTCAAAAAGAAGGCTCCTGAACCAGCTTATTATTGGTGAATTATGTAACATACCTACTCCTGCCTATTTTGAAGATTTCAGTGCTCAAAAAACATGTCTAAAACCGCACACGGAACAAATGTGACACAGAGGCACAACTTAAGAGTAGTTCTAAATATTGATCTAGTGAGAATGACATACATCCTTTCTGGATCTCTAAGGCACTTTTACTCATCCTAGTGTTATCCTTTAAATGTTGACTGTTCACTAAAAGAGTAGTTGATATAATTTACTTACTGTAAACTGCTTACTGTAGACTTGACTAGCTCTGCACTTGAAATTTTGCTTGCTCATGTTTTAGCTCATACAGTGTTGGCAAACAATGCCAACTTAGCTCACTATTCTTAGAGCAGCTATTGAGGTCTATAGAAGGTGCCTTAACCTCCTAGGACCTGGCGTCCACATATGAGGACATCACATTTTGGGTTATTTAGACCAAAATACTCAATTTGGCTCTACAAGGGCCTGATATCCACTTACGAGGACATTATACTGCTACTGTTCTATCGAAATTTTAAACGAATATCCTCACATGTGGCTCTCATTTTTCTTAGAAACAAAAATTAGGTTAAAAAAATCTGGTAATTCTTTGTCTTTTACATTCATCAGGTCTCAATCAGCCCAAATATCAAAGAGAAATTAAAAATGCATGCCGTGGAAGAGTTCGCGCCTTAGGAGGTGTCACCATCTGAAATCTTTCAGCCAGTTCTATAAATGCACTTACCTCTTAATACCTGCTTCTTCCAGGAGCTACGTTCCAGAGAAGAGGAGCTGACGCGAGCCGCCCTGCAGCAGAAGTCTCAGGAGGAGTTGCTGAAGCGTCGGGAGCAGCAGCTGGCAGAGCGCGAGATCAACGTGCTGGAGAGAGAGCTCAACATCCTCATTTTCCAGCTCAACAAAGACAAGCCCAACGTGAAGAAGAGAAAAGGCAAATTTAAACGCTCCCGCCTTAAACTGAAGGATGGGAACCGCATCAGCCTACCCTCAGGTGAGCTTGCAGACTGAACTAAGCTAAAATATTCCCACATTCAAACCTCACGATAGAAATGAGCCTTCCTTTTTTCCCCCGTAATAGCACTTAAAAAAATTGGATTGCAGTGCTTTAAAACTGGAGTTCTCACTCTGGATGGATCCTCTCTGTCCCTTTGTGCCATCACTCAGTGGTACAAACAGAGTGAGATTTGCCGTGCCCACTGCCTGTCAAAGCTTTGAAGTTAATTTGGTATTTGAATTTCTTGGAATCTCCTGTCAAAAACAACTCCAGAGCTTGACAAATCATGTTTTCCCAGTATATAGTTCTTGTATGAGAATGGTGTATTTGCCACATCATTCCCATACATCTGTAGCAAAATAAAAAAGTTAAACCATATTGTGTCTTCCAAGCTTTTAGCCTACACTATTCAGAAAAAATAAGCAAACTAACACGTCCAGATTAAATAATCACTCTGATGTTGTTGTGTTTGCAACATTTGAACTGTGTTGGAAAATGTAACTATACATATCAAACTGTAATCACTCAAACAGTAACTCCTCTGGGATTATAATAACTGTTTTACTTGTCCGGCATATTGCAGACTTCCAGCATAAGATCACCGTGCAGGCTTCGCCCTCCATGGACAAAAGGCGGAGCCTTCACAGTACCAGCTCCTCTCCTCCCAGCAGTCCCACACTTATCCCTCGTCTACGAGCCATTCAGCGTAAGTTCAGTTTGTTTTTTTTGCATATTAAAGAGTCCCTCAGGTTTTCTTAGTCGTGCTTACTGTCCTACCTCGAGTCCAGCCTGCTCAAGTGTAAAAGAACCAAAGAAATCACATCAGCTCTGAGAATTTCACAGGAACTGGGAACATGGGAACAGTATCATGCACAATGACTAGAGCCATGTGAACAAAAGCTCCAGAGGCAGAGCCAGTTGTTTGAACAGTTTTAAAAAGATGTTAGTCACACACCAACGCCCCTGCAATAACTGGGACAAATTCCTCTTGTGCATTTATGGTAGGTGATAATACAGATAGGGGGCTTCTCTGTAACATAGGAGGCACTGAAAAATCAGAGTACTAGAAAAAAGACGTACATTGGTATACAGATCCGTGTGTTTAAACTTAGTCTTAATTGATGCTTTGAGCTACAAGATTAGACAGGTCTGTGCTATCCAAGGAGGAGGTGTGTTTTAGAAGCCTGTATTTAGTGCACACAGGATTGTACACTTGATGAGGAATCGTGTATTTGCAGTTGTGTACACTGATTTACCTCAGCATTTTATTAAATCTTTATCCATCCATCCATTCGCTTCCGCTTATCCTTTTCAGGGTCGCGGGGGGCGCTGGAGCCTATCCCAGCTGTCATAGGGCGAGAGGCGGGGTACATCTTTATGCATAGCCATATGATACATAGCAATTGAATAACAGCCCTGTTGACATGGACACCTATTTCTTGCACATTTTAAAGTCCGTTTTATTTGCACCAGCCATAAATTTCATTCATACATATAAGTGTAAATGTTTATTCCAACAGATAAACATTTAGACTTATTTATGGCAGCACTGGCTGAAGTACTCCACCTTCTGTTTTGTAGCATTAAATGCTCTGTTTCACAGTGCTCAGGCTGTAACATGTGCATTTCCCTCCTCAGTGACATCCCACAGGCCGAGGGACAGTTTGTATGTTTACCAACAGGATGTTGATTTGACCAGCGAGGTGTCAGCCTACTCTGGGTTCAGGAGGAAAGGCAAGGAGACTGGCTTCGCTCATGCAGCGTGAGGCGTTGCCAGTAGCACTGAGTGCTGTGTGTTACGTGTGGCTAACTTTAAGTGTTGAAAGTGGTTAAAGTTTCCTGTCAGTGATTTGTCTCTTGCAGATTGACAGCATTTATCTGATGTGTGGATCATAACAAGACTTTGGTATTTTCTACTTGTAAAAATGTTTTCATCAACCTTAAAATCAAATAAATTAGCTACACAGTTTATGCTGCAGACATGGGCCACGGAGCTGTTTATCTTTTTTTTTTTAATTGTCTTTGAATTCTACAAATGAATTTGGTGGCAGCTTTCTTTGGCTCTTGTCTGATGCTGTGACATAATTGGTGGATGCTGCTTTTGCTGAAGTTCATGACAACTTCACAACTAACCAATACCAGTAAGAGGATCTTAAAACAACACTGGTATTGGTTGCTGTTGTTTTTCTTTTTGAATTGTAAAATTTGATTATCACTGTCATGATTATGATATTCACTCTGAATCTTCCTGAATCAGACATTAAATTAAAAGACTCGAAAGCCATCTAGTGTATAACTTTTGAACAACAGTACTCCAGGGGTTCGGTGTTTACCTAATGTTTTTTAAGTACAGTGGTCCCTCGCTATAACGCGGTTCACCTTTCGCAGCCTCGCTGTTTTCCTGATTTTTTTTTTTTTTTTTTTTTTT